AAATTGTTCTCCTAAGACTCATTCATGACAGAATTGCATTTACAGTGCCTTAACTTTTCCAAGAACAGAGTCCTTGCAGTAACCCAGGGAAAGGTTTTAAACAATAAAAACTGAAAAACTAATTTCATTTTTCAACCTACAAAACCCTTCATGTTTTGGTTTCCCAAAGTAGCTATAATAATTGCATTGTCATTATGAAACCTTTTCATGAAAAGAAGTGGAGAATCTGTGAGAAGTTGACAGTGAGTAAAACTAAAATAATTACCACACCTCCTGAGAGGAAAACTGGATCTGGATGATCTCAGCAACTGAGAAAGTCAGAGATGCAGAGCGTCATACACTTGAATGAACTCACATTTGCCAGGATATTTTGACTGCACAGCCCAAAGAACCCAGACACAAATACCAGCTAAAAAAATGGAGGATGAGGCTCTCTGGCTCAACCCTTTATTTGTCTTACAAAAACAAGCGGAAAATCTGGAAAATCTAGATTCTAAAATGAGCCAGATGTAGAGGATTCATCATGTTTTACTTTTGGAAACACTGCTATTGAATATTTTAAATTCCTTTGAGAGTTCAAGGCATAAGTATAAAAAGAAAAATCAGCCATCTAGTTTAAAACATTTTTACAATAATAGGCAAAAATTTTCCCCAGTGTGTATATCAGACAATGAGAATATTTTGGTTTGCCTTTGCCTATGCACCAAGGCATAGTTCTAAGTTCTTGCAAGCTCAAGCTTGTTCATCTGTCAGCACTAAACCTGCTTTGATCATCTCCTGTCCACTGCACCGGGTCTGTCTTGCAGAAGTAACCTGCAAAAATCCCTTTCCAACCAACAGTAAAAGCAGGGCAGATCAGGAGAAGCAAAAATGCTGTCCCAAAAAGCGCAGTTCAGGTAAGAAATAGAAATGTTTCAAACTGGGAAGATGTCACTGCATCCCAAGCTTTGTGTTGTTTGTGTGTGCCTGGCATTAGTAATTGGACTGAGCCAGCTTGATTGTCTATGTAAGTCAAGCTGTAAGTCAAGGCAGGACACAAAGCTTTCTTCTGAGTCATTAAGGGTTAGCTACCAGTTTTATAGCCTGCCAGATGCTCCCTCTGGCTCACCACAAAACCAGTTCTTTCCTACAAAGTGTGATACAGACTGAAAATGGTCCCAAGGGAACAGCCATGTGCTTGTGGAATATATAGAATTAGAAAAGCTGTTTTTCTCAGGCTCTCAGCTATGGACCAGACCACACTGGACTGTCCACTGACTTACAGGGTGTCTCATTCCTCCTGTCCTCTCAGCCCTTGCTGTTTAACCATGGGCTCCAAATCACACATACTAAAGCCCAGGTGAGTCACAACATCAAGGGAAACAAGATGAAGCCTGTTGTATCCCATCTGCTCCATGCACAAAAAACCAGTTGCACAGCCCCAGGACAGTGAAAGCTGCAGACTGTCGTGGAAAGCAGCCAACTTCCCTTTTGCTGTGTTCTCCATCTGCCATCTTGCCTTCACTGCAAATTGATGTTAACAGTATTTTATTACTTTTTTTTTCTCCCATCTGAGCTCTGTGCTGGTTTCTAGGAAAATCTCACCCCAACAATCTTTCCTACAAATAAAAGTTCACTTTAGTTCACACTTCCTAGGACAGTATTGACAGACCAGGAAAGTAGTATGTTGCTTCATGTCTTGACAACACTATTAAAATAATAATATTTAATACTCTTCTCCCAACTATTGTGCTGAAGCACTGTGTACTAGAAAATAAAGTCTTTCATGTATTTGATCTAAGTCATTCAGGATTAAAAGGATTCTGGATACTTCTAGTTCAAAGTGGGAAAATTGATTTCTGATTTTCTAATTGACTACGGTCCTACATCTACACAGAAAAACATTTGTGTCTTTAAATTAAATAGCTTCCAATCATGTAATCCTGGGACCCTTCCTCAGATAAAGCATTTTAGCTTTGGACAACTATTTGCTTTCATAAATCTGCTTTTTTTTTTGAAATCTTCAAGAAACTCCATCTCCATTTAGATGCTATCTCCAAGTAAGCAACTTCTAATTAAGGCAACATTAATGCTGTCTGTATTACACATTCTTATACCCTGATCATTTTCATGTCAGCAGCTGCAGCACAGCTCTTTATATAGATTATTATTATTCTACCAGTAGTTCAAACCACACACAAGATTGGTTTGGTTCCTTTTAAACTCCATGCAATTCTTATTTTAAGTAATGATATTTGTGTTTCTTCTTCTAAGGATCACAGGTTTTGTAGGTAACATCCACTTGAACAACAGCTAGGAAAAGTAGGATTGAAAAACAATCTTTCTCCACAATTTTTCTATATTACATAAGTCTATGTGGCTCATCTCTGAGTTATTGCTGAAGTCCTTTCCTTCAATTTCCTGCAATTCAGTGAAAGATATATGAGGACATGAGATATGATTTCAGGAGACACAAATTTTCCTATAAATTCCACTGATAATCTGCATTATTCCAGGAAAATTTGCTTGCTTAGGGATCCCTAAACATATATGAAAGCAATTATTTCCAATGAGACCTAACTTTGTTAAACCATAAATGCCCACAGTGGGTTTGAATCAATAACTAATTTCATTTTGTGGAGAGAGGATCTGTAAAGACCGTAGGCCTAATCCAACATTTTGAAACAGGATCTCTTAAATCTCTGTGAAGTGGCTGGTGATCTCATCTGTCATTTCACAGGTTCCTTTTAGGACCTCTATTTTCAAACTCATAAAATATTTAAGTTGTAAATATGATGTGCAGCCTTCACCAGAAACAGTGTTCTTCTCCACTCCACATGTCAGAAATGTAAATATTCCCTCTGAGCTCAAGGGATCCTCAATGCTGTTTGCAGGGTCTAAAGTTGCTTGGGAGTCAGCACCTTCTGGATCAGGTAAAGGAAGAGAGCTGAAGCTGCTCAGTTACTGAAACACTGAGGCCCTCACCTTCCCAAACCTTGCTCCACCTTCCCAAAAGGAAAGGATCATCAGCTCTCATGTTAAAAGCAAACAGAAATTACTTCATTATGTGAAAAAACCCCACACTTTTAAGACTGTTTATATGTAGGCAACTCCTGTAACTGGTTTCACATCCACACTAGCTTGTTTTACTACTTATTTTCCCAGGGAGCAGCAGAAACATTTAAAATCCAGGATGTTTGAAGAGTGGTATTCTCTCAGACAGGAATTCTATGAAACCAGTTTTACCATTCTGCCTTTTCAAAGGTAAGTATGTCCTGGGTGTTGTTTGATGTTCTGGTTCTCGTGAGGAGAGCACAGGAAAGGGGATACATTTATACATCTGCACCACAAAATTCTTGAATTTAGGAGAATATTCACATGTGTTAAACTGACAGAGAAAACTGGTGTTTAAATTTCACTCAAATGAAGAGACTGCATACTAATAACTGAATTGGTGCTTGCTAGGAAAGGCCATAAGCAGGCCAACAGACCACTGGCAGCACTGCCTGGCAAGCTTTCCTCTTAATCTTACCCAGAATTCAGTGAATAGGCTTATTTTTTTTATGTTTAGTTATGTTCTAAATTGGACTTCTCATGCCTCCCCCCAGGACTCCCCAAGAGAACTGCACACAAGTGCAGGTACAGCCCTTCGACCTCCTCCTCCCCAGACAGAGCAATTTGACTTTTCAGATGAGTCAGTTTTAGCCAGAGAGAGTGAGAACTCTTCCATGGGCTGGAAGGGAACATGGCAGAAAGGAGCTTCCCTGGCCAGATGCTTTTATGGTCCCACTTGCATCACCACATTCATTTTGTGTGCTGGAAGGTTCATTCATTTCAAATTAGAAGAACAATACATAAGATGTTTTTGTAAGTTTATACCTTGGAAACTTTGCTCCAGTTTATACACCACACTTTCGGCAGCAGAGACAAAAGCCAAATTAGAGAAAGCAGGAAAGATACACGTACAGAAACTGAGGTACTTTATGTCTTTGGGAAGAACAGAGATGTAGTAAATAAGAGAGAAGAAGCAAAATGAGAGAGCTGGAGCAAGCTTTTAAATAGAGCAACTGTGTGCACAGAACAGAGACAAGCTGCATCATCGATGTTGCACCTCCCTTCAACTTTTCCCAAAGGATAATTGTGCCTCCCTCAATTGCTATAATGGAACAGCAAACACAAAGAGTGGAAGACACTTACATCCTATGACAGTGGAGGCACACAAATTACACAGAAAGGTGTGAGTGCTCTGGGAGCATTATGAACCTTCATAAAATAGGGCTACGTAATGCCATGAAAATTAATGAAATGAACTAGTAAAACTAGCATCAAACAGGGCTCCAGGTACAGGGTTTGAAACACTGAATTATCCAATTCCATTTAATATGAAGAAAAGGATTCAGTTCTAGAGCCTCATAGTTTGACAGGTGCAAACAACAGCTAATTCAGCTGATTCCCCATAGCTCATAATCATGAAAAATCCCCAGTTTTGCTGCTTTGAGCTTTTGAGCTGTAGTTTTTGTAACTATGTGAGAGACAATCCTAGGAAGGGCTGGACACCTTTAGGTTGCATTGTCTTCAGATGAATCAATAAATTAACTTTTGTTACGTTGTACATAAAATTTATTGTACTGTCATATAATTTAAAACCTATCATAATTCAATATCATAATACATACAAGGAGTGAGTGAACTTACTCACTCCTTTTGTGTATTTTGTATTGTCAGAGCTTAATAGAAAAACTATGCTATAAAATTAGCTTTCCACTGAAGGACATTCTAAAATTTCTTTAAGACATCTGGCAGCTTCTAAATCATCATCATCATCCATAAGCTTTTATGGATCATGTTGAAATAGATTTTTATCTGAACATTTTCCTGTGATGCTCAAATATCCCCACATCAAGAAGCCAGAATTTGCTTTAAACTATTAGAACACAGATGATTACAGTCCTTGCAAAGGGCTCTTCTGACTATACCATGAATGAAAGCACAATCCAAACTCAAAGAGAAGTGGCTCTCACCTCAGAGTGGCACTGTGTCTTCTCAGAAGAACTCTCTCCTGTTTCTCCAGCAGTCCTTCTTACAGCACTTCCTTGGCAATCCTGTGCAGAGATACAGAAGAAATTTTTAAAAGTCAGTTTGACCTTTAGAAAACAAGGAGTCATCCATACAGTTGCTTTCAGTCCACCTCCCATGGTGGGGGAAAAAAAAGCTGTCTTAATTTAACTGAAAACTCTTCATAAAAAATAAGGTTAAAGAACATCACTCTGATTGCAAAATGAGGCTCTCAAACACTAAGAATCAACAGAATGAAGGTGACCTGTGTGACACTATGTTTTTGGGTAAAGTCTTTAACTACAAAACATAAATGAGTTTTCACAAGTCCCATGCTTCACTCAATGCAGGAATGGACAAAAGTCACTTAAGACTTGAGGTTATTATTGTCTTTGGGTTACAAAGAAGAGGGAACAAGCAACTGTGTTAGGTGCCAAAAGAGCTCTGTGTCCATGGAGAGCCGAGGGCAGGCTGCTGGGGAACTGCACAGCCCGTGCTCCCCTGCCAGCAGCCATTGCAGAACCCAAACTTCATTTGGGTACCACTATGGATCTCTAGGAGGAAAGAATCTTCTGCTGTTTCTCAGTCTGGTAAACTGACAGGAACTCAGTTCCTCCCTTCTTCTGCATGCCTTTGAGGTTAACTGGTCTTTCCTTTAGGTTCCTATCCCTTCACTCTTCCCAAATCCATCTGTCTCCAACCTATTGTCGTCTGGAGATGATGCTCCTGCCAGCTGTCTCCTGTGTTTGTCCTGATCATCAGGCACTGGTCACACAAACTCAGAGGCATCAGCCTCTTAGCTGTGTCAAGCTCCCAGTCAAAAGCTACAAAGAAGGCAACAAGTGGCAGAATATCTTCAGCTCTGGGAGTACATACCCTCCCTGGGTTCAATGCAAGGTCTTCATTAAAACTTTGGAAGTAACATTCAGGTTTAACATCAATGGTATCTCTGAAGAGAGAGGAATTTGTCATAACAAAGAGGTTTTTGTTGTCTTTATGACAGATGAATACAGTGGTGTAGCTTCCCATTTACATGAGACATGAAAACTTTGAAATAATATTTCAATTGCCAGCATCATCAAGCTCCAGCTTCTCTGAAGTCCAATTCACTTCCACAGTAAGAATTGCTGTTACTGCAGTAGAGATCTCATTGACTTTAGCTGAATTCAGCCTCAACATGAGATGGAGGAGCAAATCTCTCTCCCCAGAGAAAGTAACAGTATAAATAAAAGGGACACTAAATGAAAGAAACTGCAAAAGAGAAAGTATGAAAAGAAAAAAAACCACAATTAGACTGAGATTAGTCATTAGGGGGTGGTCAGAGCTGCTACTTGTCTCTGTTTGAAAAACACTGAATCTTTTGTTTCAGTCTTCAGTGATTATCTGTACCATGTAACAGCAAAAGCACACATCATGGCCACAGGGAGTGTGGGATATGGTAGTGCAGATGGATACCAAGTCTCGTAACTGAGTAGCGTCTTTCATCACAAGGGAAGGCAAAATAAGTACTTATCACAAGTAGTTTTGTTTATTCCCTATATTCTTCATGTATGACTACACCAGGAAGTAGCTGTTGCTAATTTTTACTTGTGATCCTACAACAGTTTCTCCCCACTTTTTTATATCTACAAGTGGCTCCAAAGTGGGTTCACATAATTCATAGAGAAGAGATGCTGTGCATAGAGAGGAGTAAAAAGTTGCTGACTCCCCTGCTCTTCCCACCTTGGACTGCACAAAGCATACCAGATCTGCAATTAATGGAGCTCAGGGATAAACTGATTGCAAACACATCATTCAGAGGCATTATTGGATTTTTAAAGCTTAGTCTTTTGCTAATTCAGGAACACAAATAATTAATTGTACTGTGTCTAGCTCAGATTACATCTGAGAATGGATCTTGGGGCAATTGGGAAAGAACACTGCCTTTGCTTTTATTGTGGGAAGCATTCCCTAAGCATAATGCCATTGGAAATGGCTGAAGGGGATTGCATCTGGTTAGGGAGGAAGTTACAAGCATAATAATTAGCATCGAATTAGCTGCTGTCTCATCCTGAGCCAGGCAAGCCCATCACATTCCTTTTCCCAGCTGCCCTCTGGTGGAAGGTTCTGCAGAGCAGCCCCGAGCAGGAAAACCTTGCTGCTGGTTGTGTTAACTTGTGAGTTAAGCCAGGAAGGATCAAATTAGGATCAACAAACCCTGAGCAGATGCCCCCTGCCCAGAGGCAAGATAGTTTCTCGAGGCTGAGCTAGAGTGATTGACATCACTTTAGCACAGCAGCTCTCTTTACGTGCTCACCAGGTTTCTGACAAGTGGGTTTCAGCATGATACTTAAATATTTGCTGTATTTATGTTCAGTACTTCTAAAACTGTCCAGGATCATGTTTGCAATACCTTAAAGTAAGGTCTCCATGCTAATTAGAAAGGGGCTGTCTAGCTTTAATTACTATAATAATTAAGTAGTTATTTTTTCTTACTGCCTTCTCTCTGAATTTGACTACATGCTGGTACTATTTCATCTCCATCTCTAATTTCCATGCTAGGTGCCCTATGCTCAAGTCACTCGCCAGCCAATCCCCAGCTTCTGCACACAGGTGATGGTTGTGGGGTCATGTCTCAGAGAGACCACAGAAGCTCAATCCACAGCAGAGGAAATGATAAAAACAAGGATAGAAACCCTGTCCAGGGGCATGCCAGGTCTGCAGGCAAAAGTCATGGCCACACAAGGTGAAGGGATGAGCGTTCAGGACAGCAAGGACAGGTAAGCAAGCGATAGGCTCAAACTTGGCACACAAACATTTGAGGGGCCGGGGTGTGTGAGGCATGAAATCATTTTCTGTCTCCTCATTTTATGATTCTACACACTTTCACTCCACTAGAAACATGAGAAGAAAACACCAACAGCATCTCCCTGCCCCTCCTTCCTGCCACCCCCAAAGAAAGAGCCAAGACCAAGCAAGACAGAGGAAAAGACCCAGCAGTGAGGGGATGGCTCAAATGGCACTCAGCATGGCAGGAGGAATCACAGACTCACTGTGAGAAGGGATCTTTCAGTGGGATCCCCCTGCTCCAAGTCCCCTGCTCACCATCACATCATGCTGGAACCAGGATGAATCCTGGTGCACCCTCCCAGGGTGGAGCCAGCCAGAGCAGCCCACTGGCAGGGTCTGCCCTGCTCCTCTACTCCCCTGGAGAAACACCCAAGAGATTGGTGGGAACTGGGTGCTTTGTTTTTGCTGTGCAAAACAAAAGGAAAAAAAAAAAGTGATGCTGCTGGCCTGTCTCAGGATGTGGCTCCAGTCTTGGTTGACTAATGTGGATGGGAGAGCATTGTAAACCGGGGTAAGGGTATGGGAATGCTCAGTTGCACTGAATTGTGCATCAGAATGCACTGAGCACCTACCATGGTGCTGCCAGAGGTGCTGTGCTCCTGGAGAAGTGCTGGGGCCAAGACCTGGACCAGGTTTAGTGCCTGTGGCTTTGCAGCAGCAGGGATAGAGTATTGGGCCAGAGTTCTACCCAAGGAATGAGATTTTTGTCTGTCAAAATAATCTCATATCCAGTCTTCCTCCTGCCTAGCCAAGGCACAGGCTGTTGGAGGGTTCTAGTATGTCTTTTATCATTGGGGCATCTTAGAAATGGGGCATTATGCTGTATGTGTTTATTGGGGGACAGAAAGACTGCTAGAATAAAGAGGCAGGTCAGTGTTTAGTTTTGAAGATGGAGAGTGTGGTTTGCACTGCTGTCATCAGTCACCAGCAGCACCACAGCTCCTGTCCTGTGTCCTGGTGGTGCCCTGTGCCCCTGCATCACCACAAAGCCCTGAACTGTGCTGAGAACTGGGGTTCTAAAGCTCTCTTATATACCTACACCAAAAATGTATAAAAGGAGCACCATGTCTCCTCTCTTTATGAATGATACGGAGCCACTTTGGCATTGAGACAAAAAATGCTTACAGTGAAAAACTATTGATGATCACCAGTAAAAAGTAACACAGCCTGTTCACACAGCTGCACACAACTGCATGGGTGGAGCCATGTGGAGCTGAGGGGTCGGGCACAGTTTGGGAAGTGGGACAGTGGGATGTGGGCTGCAGCACCCTCTGTATTGCTGGCCACTCTCCAGCCACTTCCCACCACACACATTTATGAGCACAATTAGTGTTCTTGCAGCCTTTGAATGCAGGACAGATAATGAGTTCAAAACTCTCCTTTGAATCACAATCTCTTCCATGACTCCTCCTGTCACACACACACATCCCTGGCTTACCTGACTGCCCTTCCTGCACAGCCAGAGCTAATGACAGCCACCCAGAGCTGCTTCCCTTGGCAAGAACCACTTGTGTCTTCTGTGTTCTGGATGAGCAGGGACACTCCCTGCACTTGGCTTGCTTAGCTTTAACCAAGGGGAAGAGCAAACTCCGTGTTCCTGGTGCCTTCTCTCAACTGAACACGAGCAGTTCCACACTGAGCTGGCCCCTCCACCCAACAGCACTGGTGCTGACCAGTCCCTGCACCTTTAACAGTTCCCTGGGGGCTTCCACACTCACCTCCCCAAACACAAGGAGCCTGGCTGGGGCTGTGGGCAGGGCTTTGTTTTCTTGCCTGTGTGGTTTACAGAGCAGCCTTTCTTTGCTCCTTTGCATTTGCAGGCACTGGGCATCCTTGGGGTTATGAGCAGTGTGGGAGTTTCAGTGAGAAAGATTTATTGTAGAGATAAAATCCTGTTTGACATCACAGATTCTGTTGATAATTTTCAGTAGTATTTCTTCATGATTTAAGTTGTACTTGGGCATTTTTCATAGACAATGGATTTCTAGTCCATTACTTTCATAAAGGATTTCAATAAATCTCTTTTGAGATGTAAAACATATATGGAATTTTATCAGTGAAGATGTAAATCCTATATTTGTCTGCCATGCCTCCTACCTGACTAGAGGTGGGATGAGGATGTCAGATTTGGTTCTTTAAAAAGCTTTTCAACTACACCATGAGGTGATAAAGGCACTTAGTGGTTTGTATTATTTCAGTTTTTAATAGAGGTATTTTA